ATAAATTTCAGAGGACGTGATGTAGCTACTGTAATGGAGGGGGCGTTGCTAGTGGGGCAGTGACTCGAGTTTAAACCAGCGAAAGCTAGCTACAAGTAATGCAGTTCATGAATATTTCAATTTCTCTCATGAAAGAATATGGTGGCCCTAAAAAGGGCCGTTGGGTTTTGTAGGTAGACTTTACTTCTTTCTCTTTGGGAGAAGCACAGCTTGGATGTTGGGCAGCACACCGCCTTGGGCAATGGTGACACTCCCGAAAAGACGGTTCAGTTCCTCGTCGTTGCGGACAGCAAGAGACAGATGTCTTGGGATAATTCTGCTACGTTTGTTGTCACGGGCGGCGTTGCCGGCCAGCTCGAGAACCTCGGCAGCAAGATATTCCATCACAGCAGCCAAGTAGACGGGAGCTCCAGCTCCAACACGTCTTGCAAAGTTTCCCTTGCGAAGTAGACGATGAACGCGCCCAACTGGGAACTGTAGACCAGCACGGCTAGACCTGCTCTTGGCACTGCTCTTTCTCCCTTTACCTTTTCCTCGTCCTGACATGATACTGAGTAGATTTTTCTATTTCAAAGTTTTCAGAAATAGATAAATATTTCAACGTCAGTCACCATTTATACTATTTTGTGTGGATTCAGGATGCAGCCTAAAGAACCAATAAGATCCAAGCATTTGTTTCTTTTACGTCCGCGTAGCAATGATGACGCTTATCTAGTCTACAAGTAATTTTCCATCAAGTACACGACTTGCCTAATTTCTATGAAGTCCGCGCGATCGGGATTTGGCGGCAAATTTTCCTCGCGCTTTACTTTTAAGTCCGTGTCTTTTCAACCAATCATAAACGATGCATTCTGAATCCCCTAATTTGCATATTGTCAAGCATAAATAGAAGTTCATTGGACTTGGCCGACATTCATCATTCATTCACTGATTGTATGATGGCTGCTAAAACTCCAAGGAAGGGATCTCCAAGCAGGAAAGGTGCCAAAAGAGGCCGCAGACCGGCACAAAAGCGCCGTAGGAGGAGGAGGGAATCTTATGGCATCTACATCTACAAGGTCTTGAAGCAGGTGCACCCCGACACGGGCATCTCCAGCAGAGGAATGAGCATCATGAACAGCTTCGTCAATGATGTATTCGAGCGTATTGCCGGTGAAGCCTCCCGTCTCGCTCATTACAACAGACGTTCTACGATCTCGAGCAGAGAAGTGCAGACCGCAGTTCGTCTCTTGTTGCCCGGTGAGCTTGCTAAGCACGCCGTCAGTGAAGGTACAAAAGCTGTCACCAAATACACCAGCTCCCGATAAGCAACGTCAACGTTAGAAAAACAACGGCCCTTTTTAGGGCCACCTAAATCTTGCAAACGAGAAATTAGATATGAATTAAGTCCTATGCATGCCATGTCTTGCTGAAATGAAAAAATCCTTTGATCTGAGTGTGAGAGTGCTATAATAGAAAATCTACATCGTAATACTGCAGCGCTTATCGTGCCCTAAAGATCTGAGAGCTGCTGGTCAATGACAACGGACCTGAGTCCTGAAGTCATATTCATAAAGCCAACGTAAATATTTACATTTACGTCCACGTAACTCAATTGTACGTTGGACGTAAAATATCTCTCCCTCGTATTCATAAACACATGCGGAAATTGAAGATCTACGTTTATCTTTCCGCAAGGACTTTTACGCAATTAAAATACTATACTTTAAGATTAGGGTGTTTCATAATGACCGTCCCCCAATCAACCTACAATCCTAAAAGGATATCCTAATATTATATATTATATGAAATCTCCATCAATTCTGGACCTAATGAAACAATTTTAATTAAGCTCAACAGTTTTTACAACTTGCAACATATACATACAAAGAGTACCCATTTTACTTTAGCAAAGAATCTGGAAGCAACGTGTTTTGTTCAAAATTAGGCATGTGCTTTGCAAATAGAAATGGCACATTAGTCCAGAATCGAATAAGCTTTATTATGTATATAACATTTATATAATATCGCAGGAACATATGATCTAGGTTTGACTGTGGATGGGGGGGGGGGCGGCGGTCATAACGTCTTGTATAAGCGTAATCCCATAGCATGTCCCAATTTTGTGACCACGTGCATGTACGTATTTAAATATGATTGCATCGTTCACGCACGCGTAATTTTACTTCGAGGGGATCGCTACGATCCCTAAACAATCGCTCTCGTCTTAGAGGCTAGAGCCCGTCTAACTGCAAAAATGCGCACATCTACCACAAACGCCATTTTGGCTTATAGTACATGCGTTCTTTCTTTCTATTACGTTATGATGACGCATTGGCATTTGAAAATGATTAACGTTGAACGTAAACTTGACGAAAGATACTTTACTGTGTTTACGCTTAGACATTAGACAACTAAAAATTATGACATTTTCGTACCTATCTTTGGGACCAGCTAGCTACTTCAAGATATCAAGTAAATGACAAATAATTTTTACATTATACGGGTTATATCTAAAACAAGTGTTTCACAAAATCTCATGGTAATTGGGTACTAAACGTATAAGCCTAAACAGTATTTTTAAGGCTCGACGTAAAGTTACACGGTGAAGATACTCGACGGAAATATTCTGTAAGATCCGGAGGACTTACGTTCATCGTAAAGTTATGATTGCTTTATGGATAGGCTACCAAAATAAGTTTCCTACGTTGGCTTTATGAATAAGGCTACAGTTCCTACAGTATGTTACTACGGGTCGGTATTAAAGTAACCTGGACCGGCTGGCTTAGGGCATACATTAGGGCCTACTTATCCCTATATGTAATGCTCCAAATTTCTCTCGATTTGGGAAAACTATGACCGCCGTACCGTACCGTACGGTTACCGCAGATAATCTGTGATTTCAAGTTTCGACTTACGATTTACTGGGTGTCAAGATTTTTCTGGAATGGATTCTGAATGAAACTCCTCGACTGTGTAGCCTACTTGTTCACAGAATAAAATTTAGATTTACAATTATGCAATATATGAATTCATATTTCACACGTACCGGTACATGTACTCTTTTTAAACTGCTAAATACAATCGATTGATTTTATAACCGATTATTGATTTACAGGGTGGGCCAAAAATGCTACTGATTTTAAAGGGTAATAATAGAAATTCATTCATTATTGGCATGATTGGTCTCAAACTACCTGAGGCATTAATGACATGATATATCATGTAAAAGGTGGCCTACCTTACTTTTGTTATTTGATAAACAAAGCATTAATGTTTTGTTTGGAATATTAGGCCTAGGTATGCACCGTTATCTCGTCCACGTAGGTCGTCTTTCAGCGAAGATCTGACCAAGTTCTCAAACCCAGTTGATGAAAACTAAGCACAGTCGAGGAGTAGAGTGCTGACTGATCAATGTAGAGAAACAGATGTGTGACACATCCAATTAGTGCAGAACTCACCAAAGTATTAGAGTAGAACTTATGAATTATGACCTCTAATTTCAGTCAAGTAGGCATACTAGGCTACTGGCCTACCAATCCAGAACTATTTCAGGTTGATTTATCTCCTGAAATTCTGTAAAATCAAAAAGCCGTGGAAGCTAGAATATAGTAATAGCTATAAGCTGCAGACAAACCATTTCACCCTTTGGGGAACACAGAAAAATGTGAAGTGGAATAGCAATTAAAAAGTTCATAAACTCTTTAAATCTCATAAAAAGGACGAATTCATGCCACATGGTTACTGTACTTTATCAAAAATACGCCAACATTGCATCGTTTGCCTATCTACTATTCTAGTATGAATCAGATTAGACACTCAAAGTGGCTCTACAATCAGAACGAGGTGGTATATCACAAATGGTCCGTATAGTGAACGTCTGTGAACCATCCCATTTAAACGTCACTCATAAAACATAAAACCATGCATTTGCTGTTTTAATTCGTTTGATAATCGAAATTGCATTGATTGGAAATGTCATCTCCACCTTTGGTAAGTGTGCCTTTACGGTGGTGGCAAAGTAGACTAGAAACCACAATTTATCGACTACTCAGGGCCAGACTGATAAAATTAAGTAACACAAGACATTTGCATGCGGTAACCTAACAACCAGACAACTTAAAAAAGCATTTGAAATGATATAAAAGTATTTGTGGTTAATCCTGTGGTCAAATATCTTGACACTGGCATAATATTACATGACTATAAAAACAAATCATGCGATTTTATTTATATTGACTCAGGAAGTACGCGTTTTAAAAGAGCTAGCGTTCTTTTCTCTTTATTCTTTAAAGAAATAAGGAATCCTGTATCATTTTATTGGAAATTCAAAGCATGACATGGGTTCATACTTGGGTATTGAAATATAAATACTATTTTGTTTAGGTTAAGAAAACTTACAATTCGCAATTTACAGCATTACGCATATGTCACGTTGACATTTGCGCAAAAAATCCACGTATCAATCTCAATAATTATATGAATATTAATTGTATCACAATGAATGGATGTTTCTTTTACATATAGAAAAATCCTAATTGTCAAAGGAATTGGGTGGATGGATATGTCCAACTGTCAGAGAACATGTTTTACGAGTTATACCTCACTTCGTTAGCCTAAAATAGACTTTTCTATTCATACCACAGAAACCCCTGCTAGTATAGGTCAGAGGGGCAATTAGTAAATAATTGTATTTTCCTCTTTCAAACTGCATTCCAATCTGTCTTAAGGTTGTGTAAGCGTTGTGGCTTAAACTGTCTCTTGTTATTTAAAAATAGTGTGTACTGTATTGTGCTTGTAAATTGCAATACATTACGTTATTTTATACATCTGATTTTCTCTGGTTCTGTATGGGCCATTTGCATGTATTGTAAACTATTATAGTATATTGTATCGTATCGTATTGTATTGCATTGCATCGCATCGATTAATATTACTTTTCATGGGGCCTTATACACAAGCCAAATGCGGTCGAATTGTCTTTATGTCAAGATCTATCTCGTCTAGCATTAAGCTGAGCGAAACGAGATTAATGAAACGGCAAGTTTTACAAGAATGAGTGCTAATCGGACTCAGGTGGAAAGTTCTGTATCACTTTTTCTCTGTTTGCCGAAATTTTGAGAATGAGGCCCAACGCAAGGAAACATCAGTTCCCATTTGTCTCTCTTTACATTTTCTTTGGGGTCATAGTAAACTATTTGAATATGTCATCTTGACCATAAAATTTAAAATATACCATCCTCGAGTGGTGACATCTTTACGAGCGAAGACAAGGTGTATTGATAAAACAGTTCATTAGAATACCTCGGCGAGTTATCACCGCTAGAATGCGCAGTATCTACATGTACATGAACAATTGTCTTCTTTTCCTACTAGAATTTCGCAATTTCCTTTTTTATCATTGGCTTCTCTAACCAAAAAAGGCATGAGCCCAAATAGTTTGCTCACTTAACAGTGAACCCTGATTTCACTTTTTCTAGTGAGATAAGAGACCATTGTACAGGGTGTCCCGAAAGTATGGGGCCCCCCTTAGGCAGACATATACCACTGTCGTCATAGTATATGTC